CTCTCCTGTGGTTTCTCGAAGCATTAACTGAAGACATTTGGAGTCAAAACTCGCAGCTGAGTTGTGTTTCGCGGTGTAGCATAGCAACAATCCCCTAGTAACCCGATCACTTAAGTTGTACTCCAGAATGGTTGAGCTCAAATTGAATGCAGCTCCCTTGAGCCATCTTACAACGAAAGAGGAATTTAGAGCCTGTAAATGTCAGAAAAGTTAGTTTATATTCAATCTGATTCGTTTAGACACACTTGGGTACAGACTATATCCTGGCACTCATTTTCAAGTACAACAGGACCTGAGTGTCAAGGGACATTTCTTGATAAGCAAGAAAACAAAGGGAAGTTATGTTGTGTGCACGTAGTAACGTAGCAACTCTCCCCTAGTAAACCTATCACTTAAGTTGTACTCCAGAATGGTTGAGCTCAAATTGAATGCAGCTCCCTGAAGCCATCTTACAACGAAAGAGGAATTTTAGAGCTTGTAAACGTCAGAAATGAGTTTATTTGTTACCCCTGTGTTAAAGAGATTGGGTTAAACTAGAGTTGGGCACAGACTACATCCTGGCACTTTATTTTCAAGCACAACAGGACCTCGGAGTGTCGAAGATGTTGAACGGGTGAAATAAAATGAAGGAAACTCCTAACCTATCGCCCTCTGCTCGCGTGAAGAAGTGGATACACTTCACCTTCTTCCCCCTCCTTTGTTCTCTCTCTCTCTCCTTTGAGTCTCCTGCTAACTAACGGTGTGTGTGTGTGTGTGTGTTTGCTGCATGTTGCCATGGCTATTCCTGGAGCCTGATGCACTCTGTTACCTTCCTGTGAGACCAACTAACTCTGGGTGCTGCTGTGTTTGTGTGTGTTTGAAGATCTTTTCAGTGCATATGAGAGAGAAAGTTGAGGTGCTGACTGAATGTGTTTCTTGTCTCCAGGCCCCCAGCAGCCTCCTGGAGGCTTTGGAGCAGCACCTGGCCTCCCTGGAGGGCAAGAAGACGAAGGAGTTAAACGCAGACACTAGGTAGACATCTTAATGTCCAACTCCCAGTGGACGTGTTTGAATGACAACTGAAGACACATCTATTTAGATTAGCTTTTTATTAGCGACACACCTCTTTTAATAGGTCTTTTAATCTTTATTATTCTCATACTATAGGATTTTATTTATATTTATTTTATAGTATTATTAGAGACAATCTCTTTCAAATTTGTCTTTTTTAAATGTTTATTTCTTATTAGTTTTTATTTGTATAAGTATTTTTTGTTATTGTTTGATTTATTTTATAGGTTTTAATATTTTATTGTATTTATTCATTTTGTCTTCTGTCTGCCTTTATTGAATGAGGGTTCATTATTTATTTCATTGTATTTTCTTTGCCTGATCACACCTTTTACTTCCTTGTGTCCCTTGATTAAGTTATTAAGATGCATGTGTGCAACATTTTTAAGTGAATTCCTTGTTTCATTTTGTGATCAGTGCCATGTTCTGAAATCACTTTGAGCTGCACCTGGTGTGTGTGAAAGGTGCCTGATTACATTTCAGAATAAGTTTGACATATTTCCATTTTTTGCAGGGCGTCCACCCTGTCCAGCGCCGTCTCGTCCCTCTCCTCCACCGGCATGTCCTTCAGCCGGATGGACGAGAAGGAGAAGCAGCAGGCCCTGGAGGAGGAGCAGGCCCGACTGCAGGCTCTCAAGGTAACACACTCTCCTCTCTGTAACAAATCACCTCTGAGGCAGTGGGACAGGAGCTGGAGCAGCAGAGAGTCTAAAAACATAACTGCTGCCACCCTCTCCTCCTCTCTTGCTGAGATTCTTGGGGTTTATAAGTGTAGGACCCATTTAAAGTATTAAAGGTCACCTATCATGCTATTTTTAGGCAATAGCATAGGTCTCAGATATATAAAAATATATAAAAAACATGTCTATGAAGTGTTTTGCTCAAAATACCAAACAGATCACCCATTCTAGCCATGCCTCATATCCCTCTATTTCACTTCCTGTTTCAAAAGTGCTGATTTGGGTATAAAGCTTTAAAAATAAAAAAGGAGGGGGCGGAGCTTATGCGGGACCCGGCAGCTACTGCCTAAACTAAATGCTGCCGTGATGAAACGCCATATCATGGATTATCAAGGATTCTTTCTGAAACAGTATGGAGCTCAAAGGCTTTCTCTCTTGCCGGTTACACCACAAGGTGAGTTCCTTTTTATTTCCTGCTTCTTCACACACATGCTCTCCAGTACAGGTTAGCTCTGAGTGTTAGCGATGCTAATGTAAACACCGACCATATGACGTCCAAAACAGTCGGGCATTGTTTCTGATAGCAACGTTTCTGATAGGGCCGTGGGTCCACATTTCAGATATTACGTCATATCGGACGCACATCTGGATCAGCTCCGTTGTTCCCCCGTTTTTAGAGATTTGGGTACGGAGGAAAAGAGAGAGGGTTTTATTCTCTGACGCTGCGTGAGTTCCCTGACACACCGGGGACACATATTTATGTATAAAAGACATCAAGGATATTTGATCGGATTCGCAATATAGGCTTGTGCAATATCCAACAATATTTAACGTTTGTCCTTATGCGTATTCCTTGTTTAAATGTGTGATTAGTGCCATGCGAGAGCAGCAGAGATTCTATAAACATAACTGCTGCCACCCTCTCATCCTCTCTCTTTTAAACAATATTTGTATTGAAGTTTTCAAATATAACAAACATTACACATTCATAAAACGGTCAGTCTAGGTGGCAGATACAGTGTAGAATCAAATGAATAGGCATGTAAATAAACACAGGTCAGTATACTGACTATATTTTTGTTGCGTTTCCACTAGGGGTAGTTCCGGCTAACGGGTACTTTTTCACAGTTTTTCTGGCTCTCCAAAATCCAGGTTCTTTCCGGGCCAACAACCGGGCTGAGTATGCTAAACTAGTGAGAGAATCGCTGGCAAGGGGGCTAAAACTACAACAACATGAACATATTTGACCGTGATTTAATTGTAATACACGTTTCAAAATGATGCCGAAGTAACAACATACTGATACCGGTTAGTAAAAACCATGAATTAATGCTTTGTCAAGTCTGCAGACAGACGGCAGGCGACACACCTTTTAAAATGCGTGTTTTCTGAATGGAGATTGGCTAACGCAGTATATGCTCCGACCGTCCACACTCACAACAACGGCCTATACAGACATAAATAAAGCAGCGACTGTATTCACCATGACACAGGCAGTCTGTGGTTTGTACTTGTTTCACTTTTGTCTAGTTTCTGAACAGATATGAGGAGCTGTGAGCTCTGAGTGCTAACAGCTAACGGCTAATGTTGGTTTTGTGGTTCGCATTGAAGATGACGTCACGGCTCCGCCTACACTGCGTTACTATAGTTACTGCCCCAGTTCCTAAACTGTAATGGAAACGCAGCATAAAGTGAGCCTGGCCTAACCAGGCCGTACTAAGCCGTGCGAGGCCCTGCAGTGAAATGCGCCATTATATAAAAACCTGTCTCAAAATCAGCTGATCAGATTTTGGCCACTTTATGATGTCATAACGATGTGTTGTCTTGTGTAACCATTAGCCAATCACCAACCAAGGTAACCCCCCCCCCCCCCCCCCCCTTATCACCTGAATCTCCTCCTAGAGCACCATTGAGTTCTTTTTAACCAAATCTCTCTCAGAGGGGCGTGGGGAGGGGCTCCTTATTTTCATCTAAAGTAACAGACAGAGAATCAGCACTTTGGAAACAGGGCTGAAACAGAGGGGATTATGGGTAATGATCTGTTTGGTGTTTGGAGCCAAACACTTCAGAGACATGTTCTGTATATATCTGAGACCTGTGATATACTGATGAAAAACAGTAGAATAGGGGACCTTTTTAAAGGGACAGTTCAACCCCAGATAACTGTAGATAGAAACATCAAATTGTGATTCATCATCATGTTGTTTTCTTGTAAAGGATCCCACCTCCTGCCGTTAAACTAATCCCATTAGATGAGCAACATAGACACGACAGTCTTCAGCGTATTGTTGCTTAGTAACTTGGGATTCTGTGTCGAGGGTATCTCAGGCTTTCACAGGAGAGTTAAGCTGTGCATCAGAAAATCCACCGATGCACCTCCTGTTTTTCTTTTTGTCTCCATCCACATCCCAGCTAGGGATTAGGGCTTGAAGCCTCAGAGAGCCGTTGTCTTTGTGGCTTCCAGGAAACAAGAATAAATACACACCGTTCACAAGACCAACAGAACAAAACGATGTCTGTTGTGACAACTAACCTTTCAGGAAACATCGCAGCGATTCAGAATCACGATCTAGACTTGATAACGATGGCATATAGAAAATTATGTACTGATTTATAGTAAAGCAGATGGTGTTTTTTACTTATGTGACCGAAATATAGCATCTTCAGACGGGTAGCTTAGCACAAAGACTGAAAACTGTCTCTGTACAAAAACCCTTATATCTGGACCGGTAAAGCTCACAAAAACATGCTATATGCCACGTTTTATTCATACGAAACCTATATTTTTACAGGAGGTTTCATACCAAACTATTTCTTATCCAGGCACAGTAGCTTTCTTGGACTTACAAGTAGATTGTACCGTGTAATTACCATTTTCTTATGTGACGCAACTAGCATCTTTAGACAGTTAGCTTAGCACAGAGACTGAAAACAGAAGGAGACAGCTTGCCTGGCTGTCCAAAGATGTACCTCAACCAAAACAACTAACAAATTAAGTTTTACAGGGGATTATATATATCAAGATGTCTTGGCTAGACACAGTACATTTCTTATGCCCCTTTCACACCAACGCAACTCCGGTTCAAGCTCCGTGCTAGAGCTTTTCTGGTTCAGAACCGGTTCTTCGGTTTAGCGCCGGCTCTTTTCACACCGCTCAGAGCCCGACTGGTGCTGCCGCTGCTGCGTCATGACGTCACAGTTTACGTCGCTGAGTTTCTCCCCAACGCCGGAGCTCACCTCACAACAACGGGCCGGGGACTGCGTTGCTTTTAATCATACGAAGCCAGATTAAATTAAATAACGACTTCTCCAACCTTATACTTTTCTCCAGAGTGCCGTGGTTCATTGTTTATTAATGTGTTTCAGCGGCATTTACCGACCGCTGCAGTGCTGGCCGGCTGCTCTTCAACGGGAGTGTATTCTCCCGTTAGCTCCGGGTTAGCTCACACGGCTCTAAAGTATTCACTGTCTGACTGTCACACAAGCAGCTGATACATATCCCCAGTTCCCCTTAAGTGAATGTGTGTCAGTCTGAATTGACGCTGTTTGGTGTCAGTCTGAATTGACGCTGTTTGGCATCACAACGCTGTTATGAAAGTTTCTCTGGTATAACATGGGTGATGTTAGCATAGCAACCGAAGCTAAACTGACTACTTGCTAAGCCGTTTTCTACAGGCACTTTTTACCGACGTATTTTTCATTATGATTCTACTTGTGATAGTCGGACATGACAACCTGTGCAGCCCATGTATTGATTCCATCCGATAGCTGCTATAATAACACACAAAACGTCTGCCTGCTCTCCACAATGATCAATAACAGAGAACGGATGGTCAAAGTAAGGTACAAATAAACAGAATCACACGAAGCCTGGTTAGTGTTGCCTGACTTTATAAAGTGTGTTTTTTTTAACAAGTGTGTGGTTGCGTTCTAGTCACTTTGCTCAGCACTACTGCTTGTTACAACTTTTATTTGCCGTACTCGCCTTAAGTGTTAGCTCAGGTTAATCTCGCCCCCCTCCGACGTAAGCGTGACGTATGCGGTTCTTGCTTCTAGACGGACAACTTTTTGGTGCTCGAAACGAACCGGATTCCGGAGCTATGACGCTGCTCCGCTGCGGTGTGAACAGGAAAACCCGGTGCTTTTCAAGCACCAGCACCGAACCGGCCCTGAAACACCGTTGGTGTGAAAGGGGTATAAGACTAACAAGGTAAATTATCCGGCAAAGATCCCCTCATAAAAAAGGCAGTGGAAATGCGCCATTACTGTGATACCTGGGGTTTAAAAGTGGTGTTTTTTTAAATGAAGGACCCATTTACAGTATTAAGATGCTGTCTATGCTGGATACTAGGGCTGTACAATTAAAGGATATTTGATCGGATTCGCAATATGGGCTTGTGCAATATCCAAATTGCATTAAGGGCACTATTTGGGAAATGCAAAATATGTGAAAATATCCACCTTTTACAGTATTTAGTCCCTGACGATGGAAAAAATACATAAACGGTTATCGTTGGTGCACAGTTATACCTGAAGTAGCAATTGTAAAAAGGCCTTGTTTAGTACAGATCATTTGAATGTACTTTCCAGTAATAATGATAATTTCCTTCGTTATTGTGAATCATTTTTGCAACTCAGTCAAAAATAATCACAATAAGTTATTTTTTCCAAATCATGCAGCCCTTCTGTATACCTTATTATAGGTTTATTGGGAAAAATACTACTACTACTACCGGCCTGATTTAGAGTTGGTCAAATTGTGTAGCATGGGCCAAGGAGGAACCCATTAAATTCGGAGCACATCCAAATCAGAGGGCGGAGACACACATTATTTTTCACTTATGGAAAAGGCCTTGACGGAGGTCTGCGCTCCCTAAGGTGCTTTTAGAACCCAATGTAATATTTCTCTGACCACATGCTAATGCTGTGTGTACATGGGGTCTTAAACGGCTCCTAAT